CCCACACCCACACCCACACCCACACCCACACCCACCCACACCCACACCCACACCCACACCCTGGCAGTACTCGCTGGACCTCTGTCAGTACGTGTTCTTGTCAATCTTCTTCCAAAGACTCTAACCGAAATTCAAAAGATAGGTAAAGCATGTGTAACGCTGTCCAACCAAACACATAACACGTTCCTCACTATGCAGAATGTAATGGGTAAAGGTATTGCGGTTACCGAAGAAACTCATGGCTTGCAAGAGACCAAACTTCGAGAAATGGAATCTGAACTCAACGTATCTCGCACAATGCAAGTTGAGCTAAATAAATTAATTGATATTATCAAACAACATTATGAAGAAGCACGTGAAGCAGTACGTAAAGCTCAAGATCACTACTCAAAAGCGCTTAGACGTATTCCAATTGGTTTCAAAGCGCTTCTTATAGATCTCTGCCATGCAGTAATCAGTTTAGTGTCGTCATTTCTCAATCGGTGACTACAAGTGAAGGAAATAGCGCTGCCATTCCGAGGCCAGGGTGTGTATCTTTTCTTCCATCACCAGCATACTCACACACGACATTCACTCAGAACCACACCCACAAAGCCACACCCACACCCACACCCACAAACCCACACTCACACCCCACACCCACAAACCACACTCACGCCCCACACCCACACCCTCACACCCCACCTACACTCACCCACACCCATACACCCACACCCTCACACCCAAACCTCATACCCACACCCCACACCCCACACCCATACTCACATCCTGAATATTACAAGAGACAAATACTGACCGTATTGAATTCAAACCTGGTTTGGCCTTCGATTTACTTATCTAGTGGTAAATCTTTCTAAAAACCCCTAATTTTTGTTTATTTTCCAATGTTTTTGGCTACAATTAACCTTAACCACAGTAACTCGTACATATTGAGGAAACGTTTTGAACTTCGCAATCGCTTTTGATTTCGGACTCTGTGCATAATGTAGACTCCATTGAGGTATGAAAAATCCCAAAACAATAAATGCCCTTAGGTCTTCTGTCCAGACTTATAGGTATTTTACTGCAGTTTTAGCCTATGGTATGGCATATACCAACAGATCGAGTTATGGTATGTTGAGTTGAGATTGTACCGACAAACAGGTCTATTTGTGAGTAAAATGTCCTGAAAATTTCACATCAGAAAACGTTTCCTTCCCGAGATATCAAAGTCTCAAAAGCAATAAAGTCTAGCATCTTCCGTGGGATATGAGCATTTTTGGGACTTTAATATCTCAGGAAGGGATTTTTTTTTAGGTGAAATTTTCAGGACATTTTACTCATAAATAGATCTGTTTGTGGGCATAATCTCAATCCGAAATACCATAGTTCGATTTTTTGGTATATACCATGTCATAGGCTAAATTTGAAGTAAAATGCCTATAACTATGGACAGGAGATCTAAGGGCATTTATCTTTTTAGGGTCTTTCATAGCTCCATTGGGTCTGCATTATGCACAGAGTCCGAACTCAAAAGCGATCGGGCGGTTGCAAATGTTCCCTCGCGAGTGAGCTTCTAACCTATAGCAGAAATACATTTTACTGCAGAAAGAAATTTTGAGCCTGATAGAGACCTTTGAAGTGTCTCTAGGTGCCGACGCAATATATAGTGGTTAGAGTCACAGAAACGTCTGTTTAGAATTTAAAACCACTGATTCAGACGAATCTAGATTCAATAAAAAAAGAAGATATCAATCTACGAAAAACAAATATAACAGCGTTACGTTTGTTTTTTGGTTTCATTACGCGATTAAAAATAGTTCGATGAAAACGTTTTTAACTTAGAAAAGCTCGTTTGAAGCTCTACAAAATTTGCTATGGGTGCATTTCATTTGGAGGTCCACTTTCGCAGGAAATTAGAATTTAAGCAAGAGAACTCCAAGTGTGAGGTCCTTATATGTAACAGCGTTATGCAACACAAAAACCTTTCTGGAAACTTGAGACTTCTACTTAAAAACTTCGTTTTTATAGGATAAATAGACCCTGATGAGCTGCGTCAACTGGCGTTTGAACGAACTTTCTAGCTCTCACAGTTTCCGAGATAATTGACAAAAGGTGTGTCAAAAACGTAACAGCGTTACGTTTGGACAAGCCGATCTGTCTTATAATTAGTCTTTAATATTAAGTGCAATTTTTTTTATAATATGTTCTAGAGTACAATTGATTAAGAAATATACAGCAATGAAAAGGCTACTTTATATAAAATGTGAGAATTTGCATGCATATATACTAGAACAAAACTTTTTTTTTCTATTTCTGTTGTTATTATTAATCTGTTCGCCATACGACAGCTTGCATGCCTCTTTTTAATAATCTTCATGTCGAATACTCGATTGAGTCATTTCAACTTGTTCGATTTTATTTTTAATGCGTGGTCTGTCATGATGAGGTCCTGGTAATTTTGACTTTAATGGCGTAACATTCCAAATGTCTTTAGCATATTCACTAATCGTCCGATCCGATGAAAATTTGCCTGCTCCAGCTATGTTTAAAATACATTTTTTTGTCCATTCAGTTTGATTCTAAATTAAAACTAAGAAATAAACAAAAAGAAAAAAGAAAAGTTTTTGTGGAACTCGCATATATTTTTGAAGAAAATAGTGAATGTAAGTTTTAAGTCGAAGTTTTGTACCTCCCCCTCCCCATTACAGATACTTAGCAATTAAAGGCCCCATTACAGACAGCCCCCAATTACAGACTTTAGCTGTTGAAGAAAATAGACTTCAAATTTTCTAATTGTTTTTGCAAAATCGATCCAGTTAAAATTTTGAAAAATAATGAATATAATTTTGCATATATTAATTATATATCATAATAACATGCGATGCAAAAGTCTTTGCACAAATGCTCGACTCTATTAGACCATATTGCCAACTTCTAAACCAATCAAATTTTTTTTTGTTGGAAAGAGCAATGTCTGAACTACAAATTTTGTACCAGACATATTTTTCCAAAATGAATCTCAGAAGGAGAGAAAGTCAAAAACCAAATACCTCTAAAAAAGCCTTTGCAACGTTTTTACAAGTTGAACAGTTTTTATTTCTCAATTATTTTGAGCTACATAGACCGGATTCTAACAAAAAATACGCCATATTATACCGCATCAAAAGGACTATTTATATCAGCTTTGGTAAAATTTTTTAGATCAATTCTCGACTCTTTAATCAAAAACATTTAAAAATTGAAATTTCTGTAAAAGGGAGTCTTTTGCAAGAACTATCGCTTTGGAAGCACATCAGCCACAACTCCTAACAATCATGCATGAACTCAATTCTTTGTGCGTTATTTGTTCGAAATACATCAAATTATAAAAACTAAGCAGAAAAAAACAATTCAAAAAGTATTTTTTATTGATGGAAAACGGTCAGGTAGCTGGAACGACCAAACTGCGCAGTTTCTTTCAGAAAAACCTATATTTTGGTATAAAATCTAAGAGTAAATTTAGTTTCCAATATACCGTTGGAAAGAGCACTCTTTTTGCTACAAAAATCATCATTAAACGTATTTTTCCGTTTCTCTTCTGATATAAAAAAAATAACAAAAAAGAGAAAATGATATTGCGCGATACCGAAGTTGCAAGAACTTTTTTGGAGGTATTTGGTTTTTGCCTTTTCCTCCTTCTGAGATTCATTTTGGAAAAATATGTCTGGTACAAAATTTGTAGTTCAGACATTGCTCTTTCCAACAAAAAAAAATTTGATTGGTTTAGAAGTTGGAAATATGGTCTAATAGAGTCGAACATTTGTGCAAAGACTTTTGCATCGCATGTTAGTACGTTAAATCTGCTGTAGATGTGATCAATGTGTAAAACAGACTTGTTTGCCATTTAATTCATTGATTATAACAATAACAATGTCAAAGTAATAAAAAGATTTTAGAAAATGAAAAAGTACGAGCGAATTGACAAAATGAAAATAAATAGTAGCGCGCATAAACATAAATCTTTGTTCGAAATGTTGAATAGTCTACAAGAGAATTTTCACTTTACGTATTTGATATTAGTTTAATGAAGCTAGAGAATATATGTGAGTTCCACATTTCAGCTCCAAAAGGGGCTGCGCTAACAAGCTTTTTTTGTTTATACTTTGTAAAGTTGTTCAACACGTTCTTGTGCTTTCACATATTCGGCATAATCTGCAAGCAACATATAACTATAAAAGAGAACAAGAAATATTTTATTCGAAAGAAAGCTTTTAACTTACTGATCATTTAATTCAAGTAGATTTTTAATAATATCAGCAAATAGATTTGGATCTTCAGGTGAAAAAAATCCATCTCGTATTTGATCTAATGCTCGTTTTAATTCCGGTTCACGTTCATAATATTCCTTCGATTTGTATCTATATTATTTATTTTAAAAAATTCAATTTCAAATGAAGCATAACATATACTGCAGTTATCAAAATCATTTCAACGAGGCTTCATTTCAATTGTTTTCGTCTGTCTCAAATTCCAAATAGATTCCGTTCAGTGCTTCAAGTAGAGAAAACTTGTAGGAAAAGAAACATTATTAATGAATTCCTAAAGATCAAGCCTCAAGAAAAACAAAACTCGAGTTGTTCAGCATGTAGAACGTGTGGCTACCATTTTTCTGAGAGTAAATAAGATGGTAGAACAAATAGTTCTCCAAGAAACGAGACGTCTGCGAGTTTTCTACCATGTTATTTACTTGAGATACGGCAATCTGATGAAACATTCACTAATACATTTCTTGTAGAACAAAAACAAAACAAGCTACGTTTGTAGTCATGCGTACCCCCATTGTATCGCAATTAGAAAACGTCGCAAAGAAATCGGAGGCGTTTCATTTTGTAGAGATGCGCTTGCTCCACTGTTTTAGGTAGTATAAACATAATGAAAATTCGGCATTCTAAAGACTGACAAATTAGAGTTTTGGTCACTGGGAAATCTCATCTTTAGGAATTCACTTATCATTTTCCTTTTTGTATATGTTTTGTTACAAGTAACTTTTAAGATAGTAGAAAAAAAATTGAAAATAACCATTGTTGAATTATTTTGTGAGTCAATGTACATATATCAATATGGCTTTTACCCTTTTTTACGTAATGCATCAACTTCTTCAACTGTCATACCGAATATAAATATATTATCACGTCCAACTTCTTGATCTATTTCAACATTTGCACCATCGTATGTACCAATGGTTAAAGCTCCATTGAGCATCATTTTCATATTACCTGTACCTGATGCTTCCAAACCAGCCAATGATATTTGTTCAGATAAATCAACGGCCGGAATAATTTTTTCAGCTTAAAAACAAAACAAAATATAGATTTTTTGAGAAACTGGAATCAGTTACTGGAAACAAACGCACTTTTTTTTATCAAAGCTCAGTATGATATTAGAAGTTCAATAGTTCCATGTCGAATAGAAAAGTTTCGCGCAAATAGTTCTTTCTCTTTTTTATGAGGCTCGGGTTAAACTTTTTGAGGTGTAATAGATGGATAACATTCAGAGAGATGCACAAATAATCAACTTGCAAAAGCATCATGTGCATCTATTGAAGTGCTCAAAGTATTGGAATAAAAGACAAGATTTTTGAATACAAAATAGACTGTATCACACAGCGTATACAATGCTAAAAGTTCTAAAATAATATTGATTTAAATTTGCCTGACAATTCGAACAAAGTATAGAATTAAATATACAACTTTGACTTAAGCCGATTTCTTCAAACAAGTCTTTCTATTAATAACATCCATGATTGAATGCTTGCGTTGTTCGATCCACATCTAAAAGGTATTGTGTTCAAACTTCAGTATCACCAACCATGGGGATAACGCTGGACAATTCACTAATGGCTATTTGTCTCAACCACCCGCCGAATAGTATACTGACTACGTACTGACATACATCTGCTCTTGAGATCAGTGCGTTTGGTGAGCTCAACCAATCGAGCACAAAAACTCTGCATCAGACTGACATACTATCTAGAGCTATAACCAATATTAGATGTAGGAAAGATATTGCGCTATGGAATCTGCCGTAAATTAGGCAAAAGACAGGGGTATTCTTTCGTCCTTGCTTTCTATGAATAACATCAATTATTTTGTGTTTCATACTTTTATCGTATAAGAATTAAGCTAAAAGATTTTTATTATGATATACATACCAAGACTAACACGATAATTTTCAAGAAAAAGAACTCTCAGATGATCACCAACTGCTGAATCATTACTAACTGTTCGTGCAACATTACATATTAGTTTGATAACTAAAACCAAAACAAAATTATCTTTCAATGTCTTTTGTCCTTTTCACTTACTTAATTTCGCCAATAGATAACCAGGTGCAGCCTAAAAGAAAGAATTAATCTTCATTCATTAAAATAAACATTTTTGCTTCTAACCTTTCCACTAAAAATAACTGTACGTGGTACAATATCAATATTTGGATTATCTTTAATACGATTGTATAGTGTAATAACATGAAGACAATTTAGCAATTGCCGTTTATATTCATGCATACGTTTTGCTTGTACATCAAACATTGTATCTGGATTAACTTTTATATTAAAATCATGTTGAAGAACTTTAACAAACTTCTTTTTATTTTCCTAGAAATAATTGAAACTTTTTTTTCAGAATATTTCCCTAGAATTAAGAAATAAACATACAAGTTTGACGTGTTGAACATCACGAATAAATTGTTCATCGTTAATATAAGCGCGTAATTTTGCTAATTCTGATAAATCTGTAATCCAATCATCACCAATTTTACTTGAAATAAGTTCAGACAAATCTGGATTACATAAAAGTAGCCAACGACGTGGTGTTATACCATTTGTTTTATTTTGAAATTTTTCTGGATTAAGCTCATAAAAGTCCTTAAATCTAATTATAAAATCAGTTCGAAAACACAAAAATTTGAGATGAAATAAAGAAAAGCATATTTACAGCGTAGATTTAAGTAAACTACTATGTAGTTGAGCTACACCATTAACTACATGTGACCCGACTACAGATAAATAAGCCATTTTGACTACCTGGAATGAAAAACAAGAAAATATAGATTGATAAAAAATTGCGCTATAAGTTTTATGAAACTTGACGTCTATCAATGTGAATGAGTTCTAGTATGAGACTTAGACGAGTTCTAACTCAAACATTCTCTATTACATTCAGTTTAAACAATAAGATCTTACATAATTCATATCTGATCTTGTACGATCTTTTAAAAATTAGATCAAAGCGTACAAGCATGCGGGATGTCTGCAAAAATTACATCAAATCTTGACCAATACGATTCTTACAAGATCTTATACGGTCTTTCAAAAAGATCGTACGCCGAGACTTCATGTAGGGTTTACAGAGACCACGATTTCTCGTGTGTTTTTCATACGATTCTATGTGTTGTGAAAGATCTTACGTCTGATTTTTTGACCTAGGAATAGTTCTAATCGATTTCAAGTTAATCGTAGCTAGTACAATGAAGATCGACAACCTTTATTAGGCTCTGGCCTAAGTTATTGCTACTTGAGCTAACTCTTTCCTCCAGTATTTCTAACAAGAAGTACCTAAATTGAAATAGAGAGATAACTGGAAAGAGATTCTAGGAGTTACTCAATTACTTTGAACCTGCTCTCTATAATGGTTCAACTCCTCGTGAGCTCTTCGTTATGTAACTTTTACCTGTTTCCATGGTATTTTAAAGATTTTTATAAGAGAAAACTACTTTTGAGTATTGCTTCTAGCTATGCTATTAAAATAGAGATATGCTTCTTTGCTGTACACGATAGAATAGAGCAACGAAAACCATCAAAGAGAAAAACAAGATCGTGAATGAAACGTTTCACACTTAATACCTGCTTGGCTCCAAGAAAATTGAAATTCGCATGCCAAGTAAAGTTAAATGACCCTAACCAATTAGGAAATAATTAGAAAATTGACAAAATTTAACAAGCCTTTTCTAACAAACGATTTGAAAATTAGTCGATTTAAAATCTGTTATCAACTATATTTTCGTATGAACATTGTTAATTGTACGAAAGGTAAGTTTCGTCTTCTGTAAAGAAAACCTAGCTTGTTACGATGCATGTTCATATGTTTAATAAGTATTATCTGAAGAATTTTCTGTAGACATTTTAATACGAGACTTTATGTGGTAAGCGAAGCTATGAAGATGCATGGAACAAATTTTGATCTTCATCTGGCAAGGCATGGTAGAGATCAAAGAATATTTTATGGATGAGTTGCTTTTTTATTCAGTTGTTCAGGCTAATCTTTGGCAAACGCAGAAATACAAGCTCATCTTTAATAAATTATGCTATCTTAACCTATGTCGCAAACCGATGAGTTTAAAATAAGAGAAATATTTTAAAAAGTGTTTTATGGATCACAATGGAGTCATTATTATTATAGCTAAAATCTGTAAAACACGATTGTTAATAAATAATGAATTCGATAAAAAGACAGTTACTCGTCATTCTCTCAATAGTTCTTAGAAGAAACGTCTATTCATTACGATTTTTAATAGAGAAGATGTGGCTTATCAATATTTTTGATCACTAAATTTACAATTAATACAATAACAGATAGTAAAAGAAATAACAAACATACTTATATAAAAATAGATTAAGACAAAACAATTACCCAATGAAGAATAAATAGTAGAAACAGAAGCATAATGTTACGCAAAAATCATGGTAGCAATGCTGCCCGAACTTTCTTTTGGCGGTCTGAAATTTTGTTTTCCCAATGGTGCATTACGAGCTTTATCTTTAATTTGATAGATAACTATGTCACACATTTGTTCACACTACCGGTGGTTTCTTTTGTCTAATGGGGAAAATCGCCTTATAGCGCACATTGTACCAAACGATTTACCGGCCGATCTGACCGACCCATTCGAATCGCATGATTATCGCATAGAATAGCTAGCCCAAGAGAATTTTTACATCTGTATTCTACAAGTTCTATTTAGGTGTGGGTCTGGATCTTCTGTTTATCGACACTCACTCACACAAATTCTTTATGAGTCTTCACAGTTAACGGGATCATTTCGATCAGATGAGATTATTAGGATTAGACTTTATCTTATCGATAAAATAGCTTTTGAGATAAGAGCACTATCTATTACTCATAAACGTTAACTCTATCACTCATTACGCACTGATGTATTTAGTAATCATTCATTTTATATCTGATATTTTCATATTCTTACTTGTTCTTCCTCTCCAAAAATTGACATACGCTTAACACGTTCTTCATTACCTGGCCATTTTTTTCTCACAAGCTACGCCATAAGAAAAAGCAAATATATCAATATATTTTTTTCATATTATTGCAATGTCTTCTTACATCCAAATGATGTAAATTAATATCTTGAATAATTTCATAATGTCGTGGTAAAAGGTTTTTAAACATTTCAATAGACCATCGTTCAAGTGCTTCAGATAATAGAGTATGATTCGTATAAGCAATAGCTTTTTTTGTTATATCAAATGCTTGATTCCATTCAATATTTTCTTCATCAATGAATAAACGCATTAATTCGGCAATAGTTAATGCTGGATGTGTATCATTTAATTGAATAGCTGTTTTTTCATGAAAATGTGTAAAATCAATTTTTTGATTTGAAATTGAAAATGATTTTGAATCTTTAAAACGTCGAATAATATCTTGTAATGATGCTGATACCAAAAAATATTCTTGTTTTAAACGGAGAATTTTTCCTTCATCAAACTACAACAAAAAAAGCAAACAAATAGATTAAATAAATATTCAAACGTATCTATTTACATTATCATTTGGATATAATACTCGAATGATATTTTCTGTTAAACTCTATAAAACAAAAACAAGAAAAGAGCCAATGGAAGAATTTTTAAATCTTTTTTTACTGTTTCAGCAACAGCACGAATATAATCACCGGAGTTAAATAATTGAAAATTAAATGCACCTAGAGCTTTTGCCGACCATAAACGTAATGTATTAACTACATTATTATTATAACCAGGTATCTAAAAATGAAAATAAGTTATCTTATTCTATAATAGATTACATCAGTGCTTTGAAAGTAGCATAGTTTCGGCAATATGAGTAGTAACTATCGTAATTAGAGGCCATTGAATTTTTTTCAACCATAACTGTGCATAAAAGATGATGACTATTAGTTTTGATCCCTAAAAAATGTTGGATACTATAAGTGCACCGTTTTTTTTATACAATTATTTTTTTTTAAATCTGTCCTTTATCACAAACATAGATTTACCTATTTCATTCTGCACATGTCAATACCCTCATAAAACTAAGTGAAATAAGTATTAAAAAAACTTCTGCATTGTCTGCTTAAATTCTTTAGAATTTTTTTCCCTAGATACTATATTCGTGATATAAACATCTGTTTAATTTTAATCTATTCTACAAAAAAAATGTAAAAAATTTTCAACATGATATTCGATGCTATTGTCGAACTCATGATTGCTTTGAAAATCAAAAATATTTCATTTTGGATGAAATTTCGTGTATTTCACCGAACAATCTGATAATACTAAGCCGAAGTTAGCCACTCAATCTCAGAATTTCTGTTAGAAATGAATCTCTGTCAAATGATCATTTTCAACAAGTACTGATAATACATATATTTGAGATTTTTTTAGTAGAGTTTCATTCTTACGGGTGTATCATAGGGCGTAGCATGAACAATTACTGCATCGATCCATTTCTTTTTTCCATTTTCATCATTAATAACTTTACCATAGAATCGAATAGGTATAAGATGTTCTGGTCGAGCTATTTCCCATGGATTTGGAAATCTATAAAATTCATAATAGATTCACAAGAATTAAACTTTTTGTTCATTACCTTAACCAATTATCTGGATATTCATCTTGATAACCATTTGTAATTTTTTGTTGAAAAATACCTTAAACAAGACAATATTTTGGCGAAAAATCTTCTTTTAATCTCTACCATAATCATATCGAAGGCCATAACCATATCCGGAAAGTCCTAATGTAGCCATACTATCGAGAAAACAAGCAGCCAATCGTCCTGAAAATAATTAATCACTCACTCAATAATTTCATATAAAAATGGCTGATCGACAAAGAAAGTTCCAGCATAATTTTGTTTATAATGTGGTAAGTTGGATTTCATAGTGAGTTTAATCTGTGAGACTTTTCACGATAAATTCAATAACACGCCAGAAAACAAAAGATATGGCAATCTGCTAAGCTGAAAAGTTATTAGAAAGATCCAAAAGATATTCTAATCAATTCTAGAATATTATCCTGAGCTTCCTATGTTTTCTAGATTTTTCTTCTTCCGATGAAACCTTTTTTTATATGTAAAATTCAATGCAAAACGTCTAAATTGCAGAGATTCATACATAATACCAGATTCAACTAATATTTATCTTTTTGAATGATTAAAATCAGTTGACAAGAAAGTAATTATTTTTCAAAAAGAATTTACAATATCGAGAATTATTAAAACACTTCCCATGTTGCATGTTTGTTCACACTACCATAGGTATACCGCGATGCTCATAAGTATCAGCAGTATACCAACAATTTTTGTTCGGTTTGAATCATATAGTTTATTATAAATTCTAACTTACCAAGACCGCCATTGCCGAGTGCTGCATCTGCTTCAAGTTCTTCTAATTCTTCAGCATTCAAACCCATTTGATACATAGCTTCATCCACAGTATTTTTAATGCCTAAATTAATCATACAATTTGATAATGCTCGTCCCATGTGAAATTCCAAAGATAGATAATAGACGCGCTAAAATAATCAAATGGATACTTGATTTCGAACTCAGCTTAACGCAAAACCTTTTCATCATTTTTAAAATGATATTGATTTGTACGAATCCATAGACCAACAAGATGATCACGAACTAAAATAAGAAGTTACTAAAGAAAATGAATAAGAATTTATTTTAACCCTTTGAGTCCGGGTGTCCTATATATAGGACGCAGTTTAAATATTTATAAATAGAGGGTGATATTATACAATAAATTTTTTTTTATTTATATTACAACGTATTTTATCTATTTTAGTCTTTTTTTTTAATTTTTTGTTAAATTATAATAAAAACATGGGTTTAGTTGATAAATCTGATATGATGATGCATATATCAGAATCAATTCGAATATCTATCAAATGGTATAAAAAATTGTTTATACATATTATTGATATGACAATATTAAATTGTTTTATATTATATAAAGAAATTACAAAGAAAAATATTTCATTTATTGATTTTAGTATGCAAATCATTGGTCAAATAATTGAAAAATATGGTTTTCAAGTAAAAACTCAACGAGGACGCCCATCATTGGATAATCCAAGTCGTCTTATAGAAAGACATTTTATAAGTACAATACCAGAAAACAAACAAAGACGTTGTGTAGTTTGTTCAGCACATAATATTGCTAAAAAAACCAGATATGAGTGTACTGAATGTAATGTAGGCCTATGTATCGATATATGTTTCAAAAATTTTCATACTTTGAAAAATTATTAAAAATAAAATTTCTTTGACTTTTTTCCATTAAAATTAAGAAAAAAAACTTATTTTTATATTAAAATTATAAAAAAATAAAACCCGGACTGAAAGGGTTAAACGAACCTGTATAAGCCATGGATGTATAATAATCATGATTGCTAGCTATATCACGATCTTTAACGACGGTAAAATGTAAATGATGATAAAATCTCTGTTTGATTCCTTGAGCATTTTCTGGCTATAACGATACATAGGTAAAGATCAACTGAAATTTTCAAATTTACCATTGGAATATTACGAATTCTCATTTGTCCAAGATCTGTGCCTTTCGATTCAGATGCATTGTTTTCAGATGATATCGATCCATTTGTTGCTTCAGATGAATTTGGTTTATTGCTTTTGTCTTCTAAATCGCCTGCAATGAGGTCGTCCACGTTTTCAGTAACGGTTGCTTCAACCGGTTTGAGTGCAGATTTCTATTAGAAAATAAATTTAAATAAACAATATCAATAGATCGTTTCGATGAATTATTGGTAATATAATAATTCATCAATTAAAAACTTACTGCTTGTTCCATGTTGAGTTATTCTTTATAAAAAAGATCTGAAGGAAATAAGTCACACAGTTTATTCACGTGTAATGCAATGGGTACGAAAGAAGAATAAATACAGCGCTGTTGTTCTTTCTCTCTTTTCTTGTTATTAACGACAGTGATGTTCTCTTCTTAGCGAGGAACGAACCGATAAAAGAAACTAGGCAAGTAACGCGAAGAATATTGTAGAGAAAAGTTGGAAGAGCAAAAGAATGTAAACAGTTTGATGTGAACTTGCGAAATATAGTACGATATAAAAAAACATGTATTAATCTTTTTGTGATCAATTTCTCCTTTTTGTTGACTTATGGCTGTGATAAAATCATGACATTATGTCCGTATAGTTTGTTCGATTTATGTAGGGTATGGAATCTCTTTTGATATCGACTAGAAAATGAATTGAATAGGAAAAATTACGGAACAGCAGGTTATTGCGTGTATTTTGATTGTTTCTCTTGTAGAAGGGGCCTTCTACAGTAAAATGATTTTAACGTATCGATATAAACTATGAAGAAAAAAGAATTTTCAAGCATTATGCCACGTATTACGTAAATGTGTAATAGACAATCGTAAGGTCAAGATCAATAAAATGATTTATTGGCTTGAGAGGAACACAAACAAAAAACAAGTTAGATGGAAGAAACGGACAAGAGTAATAACAGACAAGACAACTTGAAGAGAACATATATATATATATATATATATATGTCTATGATGACTCATCAGAAGAGTTAAAGAACAGAAAGAAAGAAAACAACATATAACAATAATGGTACTTCTTCAGAATAGTCACACCCTATCATAAGAAAGAGGAAAGGAAAAAAAAATGATTGGTGATAACGACTCATGTACGAAAAAGAAAGATATATAGATGACGTTGTAGTGTGAAGGTGTGATCGTTCTAATAAGCATGTTCTCTCTATATTCTCTTTTCTTTCATTCTGTGTATATGTTATGGATATCATACTATTACAAATCTCTCTAGTTCTTTGTGTATACATGATATCAGTCATTGTATTCATTATGTTGAATGATGTGATATATCTCTCTGATGTCTCTCTCCCTGGAAATCGTATGATACTATAAAAGAGTGAGAAAATAATAAGTTAAACATGCATTTGCATACAAGTTTATTCAACACTCTCTCGTTCTCTTAAAGCATATTAAAGGTTTATAAGGTATGGCTTATTCAGCATTACCAAATCTTGATAATCTTAATAATCGTGAATGGGTGAAATTAACTGATGGCCTCGATAATGTTATTAGTTTTTGCCAGTTGGTAGGGCTACTTCCAGTAGCTTTGGATGATCCCTGTCCGAAAGGGCATACCAACTGGTATTTAGGAGCTAATAAAAGAATCATTGATGGTTGTTCATGGCGGTGCAGGACATGTAAATGTACCAAATCGATTCGAGATGGTACATTTTTTTCCAATTCGAAACTGGACTTGCAACAAGTAGTGGACTTAATGTATTACTGGTCGCAAGGGTTAGATTCTCACATCTTTCTCGAGCGACACTGTAATCTTAAGGGTGATGCCACCATCGTCGACTGGAAGAACTTCATTCGAGATATATGTGTGGAATATTGTATTAAACATACAGCGATGATTGGTGGCATCGGACATATAGTGGAGATTGATGAAAGTGCTTGGACTAAAAGGAAGTACAATCGAGGGTATTTATTAACTTTCCCTTTAAGAACAGTAAAAATTATTTTTTTAAATAGTCGTATGGTAAATACTCAATGGGTGTTTGGTGGGATCGATCGTGATACTCGAGAATGCTTTGCTGTTCCTGTTGAACATCGAGATGCTGCAACGCTCCTACCAATCATCCATGAATTTATTTTACCGGGCACGACTATTATAAGTGATCAATGGGCAGCATATAATAGTATTTCATCTGACCCAAACATTTATGAACATAAGACTGTGAACCATTCAGTCAATTTTATAGATCCTGTTACATATGCCCATACTCAGAATATTGAGAATATGTGGATGTGTATAAAAAGGAGAAAGAAACAACAAATGGGTCAACATAATTCATTGCTGCCCTCACACCTTGCTGAATTCATGTGGCGTCGCAAGTTTGGAGATCGGCCGTTTGAGAACTTAATAAGATGTATACGTGATTTGTATCCTGTCCTCTAGTTTTTTATCTTGTCCTCTAGCTTTTTATCCTGTCTTCTAGTTTTTTATCTTGTCCTCTAGTTTTTTTAAAATAAACATTTTTTCTTTTTCCTTAGTACGACCTCTTTTTTTTTCTTAGAACGATCACACCCTCACTCTCACGTCATCTATATATCTTTCTTTTTCGTACATGAGTCGTTATCACCAATCATTTTTTTTTCCTTTCCTCTCTCTTATGATAGGGTGTGACTATTCTGAAGAAGCACCACAATAATATATGTCACTATATCACATCCCTCCGTTCTAAATTTGTTCGATCAAACGATGTACTGTTTTTTTAATTCGTGATGAACGTCAAATAATTTTTGATCCTTGATCAGATGAAGGAAGTGCTGATGGATATTTATCATGATCAGATGTTATTGTTGTTGGATTCATAGCAATGAGATCTTCATCACTTGACCATAAACGATGTTTTATTTGCTTTTCATGACGACACCATATTTTTTCTTTAACTTTAACAGTCCAAATACGGGACCCTAACTGACTGTTCAGGACACCCAGCACCCATTCAATTTTGTTTGGGTTCTTCCTGAAATCACGAATTAGAACCTTGTTACCTTCATTAAAATGTCGTTGTTTGGTATGACGATCGAAGTTAAGTTGATAACGTTTACGAGCTATATGTGATGCATTAGGATGTAATAAATTTAATAGTTCTAAGTTGTCATTTTAAAAATAACTCAGCTGGATTTACATTTGTTGTTGCATGAGAAGTTGATTTGCAACAAAATAAAAATTTAGAAAGAACATCAGATATCTTTCCTCCATTATGAAGTCCTTTTTTAAGAGCAGATTTAACAATATCAACATAACGTTCAGCTTGACCGTTTGATTGAGGATGACCAGATGTTGTTCGAATATGTCTAATTCCATTACGAGTACAGAATCCAGCAAATTCTTCAGATGTAAATTGTGTTCGATTATCAGATACAATTTCTTCACAAAAACCATAACGAGCAAATAGTGATGTTAAAGTATTAATTGTTGTTGTTGTTGTTGTTGATATATCATTCATAATAAAAGGTTCCAACCATTTTGAATGAGCATCGACTACAATGAGAAAATAAGAACCCATAAATTTTCCCATAAAATCAATAAGAATTCTTTGTCATGGCTGGTTAGGAACATTCCATTTTTGTAATGGAGCTTTAGCGGATTGTTTTGCATTTACTGTACAACTTTGACATTGACGAGCAAGATCTTCAATGTCTTTATCAAGTGAAGACCACCAAAAGTAACGTTGAACTTCAGCTTTCATTCTTCCCATACCAGAATGTGTTGAATACAAATGACGTAAAAGACGATTTTTAAAACAGGTTGAAACGATTGCTCGGATACCTCAAATAATACAACCATGTGATGTAAAAAGTTCATTGCGAATTCTGAAATAAGGTTGAAGATGTTCAGGTTGTTGTAATGGCCAACTTGAAAGTACATAATGATGAACTTGCATAAGAATTGGATTTCTTCGAGTAGCTTAAGCAATATGTGAGGCACGAAGGGTGTGGGTGGGTGTGGGGGTGTGGGTGGTGTGGGTGTGTGGGTGTGAGTGAGGGTGTGGGTGGGTGTGGGGGTGTGGGTGGGTGTGGGTGTTCTCTACTCCCACACCCACACCCACACCCACACCCACACCCACACCCACACACCCACACCCACACCCACACCCACACCCACACCCTCTTTTTCTTCCTGCTATTGTACATGATGTCCTGATTTCTCAATTCTCTTGGTGTGTTGTCATCAAGTAACCTCCTAGAAAGTTTCCATTCCCTCTATTGTTGTAGTATATATATACTTGCTCCTGTTCTCATTGTTCTGTTCGGTTGAACTGTTGATCAGCTGTTGTTTATGTATTCAGCGTTCTGAATTTATTGTGGAGTAATTATTTCTTGAAGCATAAATCATGACTTGACATCAACTTAGTGTGAGTGAGAAAGTATGAGTAGTGGAACACATGTATCGACTTGAATAGTCAATCCAAGGCAGAGACTTTAGCACAAAGAAATGAAGAATGAGCTTTCTAGCCGACCAGCAATAAACGCAATAATTAATAAACCTGAGCAGACTGGCTCTGTATTTAACGTTTTTCCATCTGGCAGACTAGTCTTAGTGATGAGTTAGAACACAGAGAATGAAGTATTCTCTTTGTTGGCAATAGAGCCTCATTCATCAACCTGTTGCATGAGTTCACTGTTGAATATCTCACGAACATCAACTCTACGTATTTACAAACGGATGAAATTCAAGTCTACGTGCACAGATTAATTGACGAACTCAATGGAGATGATTATGATCAGCGGGTTAACTTCTGCGAGACTTTTTTCTCATTTAAGGACGAACCTAATCTAATCAATAAGGCATTTGATCCAAAGAAGTCACTTTCAAGTTCAATGGTTTTTTTAACCATCATGATTCGGTCTCTTGGACGACACAGAATCCAAATATCACATGGAAGCAAACAATATAAGTTAAAGGTCCATTGTTTGGGTTGATGTCTAGTCTTAAGAAGTAATCAGTCCTTTTTTTCTTCGAAGAAATAGATTCAAAAGTGTTTCTACCCATTTTTCTATCTTTTGTCAGACAAACACTGCATTTTTCTTATGCAAGATCGCACATCACGACATTATACACGTGTTATTCGAGAGTGGCTTAATCAAAAATTCCCAACGAGGTGAATTAATCGTTCAGGTCTGATCGATTAACTTGCAAGATCACCTGACCTAACACCAGTATATTTCTTCTTGCAGGGATATGTAAAAGAAATCGTATATTAAAACAAGCTTCACAGTTTAACTCATCTTAAGAAGTTAACTGCCATAGCATTTCGAAGTTTAGACTCTACTCTGTGCCAGAAAGTTTGTGAGTGAGTGCTCGAAAGACTTCAACGGTACGTTGATGCTGATGAACATCAGTTTGAACATTGGTATTGACTTGTTCGAACACTTTGCTCTGTTTACATCAGTTTGATATCATGAATAAAGCTTTTCTTGTCTTGACTTTTTCTTATTAATGTCTAAGATTATTATCGAAAGGATATTTATGGACCACACTATGTGTACATTTTCGAAACCCATAAAGATAAAAATTTGTTATTGATATCAATGATGATACTTCCAAGCAGTATTTATAAATGTTATTCTTACGAAAAAACAAAAGCTTTGAAAGCTCCGCTATTACGAAAAAAAATCAGCCCCATAGTGTGGAACACAGTAGAGATATTCAAATTTTTTATCATAAATCTGCTTATGTGTATATGATAAACCATACAGATTGTGGTTATAAGGCAAACAAGGCAAATATCGAGTGATGATGAAAAACTTGAATATGTTGAGAAAAACAAAAACTAAAATAACATTGACTATGTTTCACATATGTTGATATTAACACACCATCAGATTTTAAATTATTGTGGTTTTTTTTATTATGCTCACGCTGGAATTCTTACTGGTTTTATGTTCAAAGATCATTTAGATTGTGTTGACGAACTTTTTAGTTGATTAAGAAAATACTTTTATTTTATCGTTATTGTCGATAATGGAAAGAAAAAACAAAACTTTCGAAATCTCAAGTAATTCATATTTCGACTCGTCTGTTTCGTCTTTCGTTCAATGATTTGCGTGCATTAGCCAAACTAGTTTTACTAAATCGCTCTATCCAACAATAAAATGTAGAGCACAATGTATCTCATCAACTAATATACTTGAGATTTCTGAAAGTTCTCTTCATTTTTATAATCAATTATAACGATGTCACAAATATTTTTACTTTTTTTCATCTGAAAAAATCTATTAATTAGCACAATCTAATGATTATTTCAATGTAAAAGCAGCAAAAACTCTACAACACACATAACAGAAAACAAGTCAAAACTTTATAATTTATTAGTGCTGACAAGAATGTTTACAAAATGCTGTGTACTGCAAGTATTATGACTTGTCTGGTAGTATGTATAAATATAAATATTTATTTATCAGAATAAAGACCTAGTGCTTTAGAATTCAAGATATAACCCGTAAAAAATATATGGAAGGTGTATTGGATGAGCAGATGCATACATTATATGAAATTCAATTTTCCTACGAAACTAAAATTGTTCTTTCCAGCTTATACACAGAAAGAACTTTCTTTTTATTTGTTATAAGAAAAAAAAAATAATGATTTTGTATTTGATCTCTTGTGAATTACTGTTGTTATCAAGGTTTTACACACAAGATTTGAAGTCAAACCCTTTTGCTTAGTATGCATCTGGTAGATGTAAACGAGTGAATTAAAAGAACACACTCACATATCAATTAAATAGAATCAATAATAGTACCACAAATTAGGAATAAGAAAGATTCACTGAGGGTGTGGGTGTGGGTGTCATGTGGGTGTAGATGAAGACTTATCACACATCCACACCCACGCTCACACTCACACCCACACCCATCTTATAACCTCCCCTCCTTTCTTGAGATAAATTCTATTTAGTTTAGAAATAGTTTTCTCGTTTGATTTAACAAACTATAAAACAAAAAACGTATGATGAATCACTGACAATAGTCCGACTGTAAGCAATAGTTTTTTGTTAGTCGTCACGTTTGGTCATATGTGCGTATATAGTGGACTGTAGACGATCACTTGATTCATATCGATCGATATTCATGCTCGTATTGCGTACAATTATTCGGTGAATGGAGCAGCGAAAAGAATCGGATTTGCAGGTGTTTCACAATACAGTATGTGCTTTTACTTTAAAAAAAGTATCAATCAGCAATTCATGTATGTATACAAACGATAATTTGATCATACAAATACTCTTGCTCTGAATATTTACAGAAACATTCAGAACTGATCGAAAAAGATCTATAGAGTACAAGTCAAGATGACAAAAAATACTAACATATCAATATATCTGATATAACGAGCTGAATCATATTTCAAATTGAATAAACGTGAAAGTGAGTATTGTTCTTTGTTCTTGATAATGATATAAGAAATTTTTCTTGTTGCGTCAGTAAGTCATCACTTTGTTATTTTCAGACACATCTATGTTTGTTTGTTGTTCCAGACGCTGTTCACTGAAAGCATACATCGAGAAGCTCCACCATATGTTTTCACCTTTTTTAAGTCTTTCTAATCAGATAGGTGGACATTCAAGAACATATTCTAGAATTGTATTGCATCGTTATATATTTCTTTTTACACTACCAAGTTGCAACTCAGAAATCACGTACTTGAGGAGATAGATTCTGAAGTGATCACATTTGATTATGCATGCTGCTCAATTTACTTTAGGTAGCTAGACCCATGACATTGGTATTACAATTTGTGTATAATTCTATTCTGCAGTTTTTAATATGGGAAAGTCAATGATTTTCAATCAAGAGTTTTTCAGAGAAATATAGGATGTGGGTGTGGATTAGGTAGGAGAGAAAATTCCCACCCCTACCCAAATTTCTACGGAGATATTTGAATTTTTCTAGAAAAAAGACCTTTAAAGGCGTTTTTGCATCTTTTAAGGGTTTCTGTCTAATTGATTGCATTCTAATGGAAAGTGTACTGTATTATTTTACGGCGTTGTCTGTGCCGTATACGGGTGGCGTAGTTCGCTGTTTACGGCACGGTGATTTACGGCCGTATTTTCGCCGTGTACGGTCGTCGTAATGTTCGATCTGAGAATGTTAGCGTGGTGACAGATAAATGTTAGACAAGGATAGATGGATAGAGGTTGGAGCCTCGCTACTGATCATTTTTTAAAATTTCCATCACTTCATTTTCCTTTCAGTAGAAGGCTGAGCGACGTTTGCGTCGCGTTACTTGTCATTAAAAAGCAAAGCATTAGATATGCAATAACACTCCTAATAATATCTTATCTCTACAATGCTTTAATATGACTCATTTATTGTGAAATTTTGTCGAGAAACAAACAACATCCAACAGGGTGTGGGTGTGGGGTGGGTGGGTGTGGGTTTGGGGTGTGGATGTGGATTGTTCTCGTTTAACCACCCACACCCACACCCCACACCCACACCCACACACACCCACACACACCCACACCCCCACCCACACCCCGTCCCGCAATTGACAATTCCTTTCTACATGTTTTCGAACATGCCAGGATGTTCGGACATACCTTTCCTTACATTGTGTGAGAAGTCACTATTTGTTCGCGGCTTCCTAGGAATGGAGTCAGTAATGGACATCCATAACCGTGACAGTCACCAAGCATCGTGATCATGCAGGCCTGTAGTTACCAGTAATAAATATAATTGAAACTTTATGAAGCGAAGAATATTTGTGATTGTAAAATCACGTATATATGACGAACGAAAAAAGACGAAGGTAAATTAGTGAAAAAGAAAAATCAGAATTACAAATATTGTTATGGAAAAAGATGGAACCAAGTTTGCGATGTCGATTTCCATCGCCATTTATGCATGTTCTTCCTCATCCTGTTCACCACCTTCACCCTCTTCTACAATAAAATTAGAGAACACAATTAACATATAGATAGAACAGAACAATAAATATACTGACCTTCAGCAGTGGCATCTTGATATTGTTGATATTCACTGACAAGATCGTTCATATTCGACTCGGCTTCAGTAAATTCCTGCGAAATCGAAAACAAAAACGATGAGAAATAAGAAATACAAAAATATAAGTCACCATTTCGTCCATGCCTTCACCAGTATACCAATGAAGAAATGCTTTACGACGGAACATAGCCGTAAACTGTTCCGAAATACGTTTGAATAATTCTTGAATCGCTGTGCTATTACCTAAAATAAAACAAAAAGACAATACCATAAAAAAAACTGATACGATTTGTTCTTGTTGAATCCTTACCAATAAACGTTGCCGACATTTTAAGTCCACGTGGAGGAATATCACAAACAGCTGTTTTGATATTATTCGGAATCCATTCAACAAAATAAGATGAATTTTTATTTTGTACATTTAACATTTGTTCATCGACTTCTTTCATTGACATACGACCACGAAAAATAGCAGCAACTGTTAAATATCTTCCATGGCGTGGATCACATGCAGCCATCATATTTTTTGAATCAAACATTTGTTGTGTAAGTTCAGGTACAGTCAATGCACGATATTGTTGAGAACCACGTGATGTTAATGGTGCAAAACCTGGCATAAAAAAATGAAGACGTGGAAATGGTACCATATTAACAGCTAGTTTTCGTAGATCAGCATTAAGTTGACCTAGAATATTGTTTAAATTATAGAAAATAAAATATTAGTCTGAAATTTGATGCAAAATTTACCAGGAAATCGAAAACACGTTGTTACACCTGACATTGTAGCCGAAACGAGATGATTAAGATCACCATATGTAGGTGTTGTAAGTTTGAGTGTACGAAAGCAAATATCATACAATGCTTCATTGTCAATACAAAATGTTTCATCTGTATTTTCGACTAGTTGATGTATGGATAATGTTGCGTTGTACGGTTCGACAACCGTATCAGATACTTTTGGTGATGGTACAACACTGAATGTCATCATGATACCTAAAAGAAAATAAGAAAAGATGAAAATTTCAGTATCATTCTCAAGAATTAACTTACGATCCGGATATTCTTCTCGAACTTTTGAGATAAGCAATGTACCCATGCCTGAACCAGTACCACCACCGAGTGAATGTGTTAATTGAAAGCCTTGAAGACAATCGCATGTTTCAGCTTCTTTTCGTACGACATCCAAGACTGAATCAACCAATTCTGCACCTTCCGTGTAATGACCTTTGGCCCAATTGTTACCAGCACCCGATTGTCCTAAAATAATTAGGAAACATGAGAAAAATTGAACTAAAATATGTAGTATATTTACCAAAAACAAAATTGTCTGGGCGAAAGAGCTGACCAAATGCACCACTGCGAACTGAATCCATTGTGCCTGGTTCGAGATCGACAAGAACAGCACGTGGTACATATTTGCCACCTGAAATAAGAGAGAAAGAATATAAATACGTTTTGTTTTTTATTCTCTACTTGCCAGCTGCTTCATTATAGTAGACATTGATACGTTCAAGTTGAAGATCCGAATCGCCATGATACGCGCCTGTGGGATCAATACCATGTTCGTCCGAAATCACTTCCCAAAACTAGAAACATATCGAGATTTTATAAGAACATATTCAATTCAAAATATATCAACTAACTTTGGAACCAATTTGATTACCACATTGACCAGCTTGCATATGAACAATTTCACGCATCCTTTTTTTTTTTAAAAATTTGTATTGAAAATGAAGTGAATGAAATAGATGATAGTGAATCTGTAAATAGGTATGATAGAAGAATCTACTCTTTGTGATAGAAATCTAAAATATACGAGAAAAATAAGAATATACAGGGAAAGTTTTCAAAATCAAAAGACAATAGGAAATTAATATGAAAAATCGAAGTTGAATATGATAAAATAGAAAAAAAACTAGTATCATTATGAATTTGTACTGTCAATTCTATTTGATAGATTTGCTATATGAAATTGTATACAATGAACTCTGTGCGACAAATTTATACTATATAAACTTATCGTATAGAATTGTCGACTTTGTTTTTCTCTAAGAGATTTTATCGTATAGAACACGACGCGCACATCACGTTGTCTATACTCTTCTAGTGATGTGAGTCAAAAATGTCCGAATAGAAAAGAAAAAAAAAGAAAATCTCTCGCGAGTATGACACATTCAGAGCGGACTTATTTTTCTTTTCTATACAAAATTGCGCAGTAATATATACTCTTTCGTTTGCGATAGCATCAATATAAATGTTTTACGTCGTCATTTTCTTGAAGGAAAGAAAAGGTTATTGAGATCATAATTGAAGCAATATATTTTCCTTTTTCTTATTTTGCTTTAGTCATAACATATACAGCCGATCACTTGAATTCGTCGGAAAAAATTGTTGGATAGAATATTTCGTAGAGAATCTACCATTAGAATTCATGGATATTAAGTAACAAAGGATGCAAAAACAATGCGACAAACATCGGACTGTATTTCTCTTTCATAAAAATGTACTAAAAGAAAATTCTTTTTCCAGAAGATAGAAAATTTTCTCTTCTTTCGAATCATATGTAACTTATTTTTATAATATGTTTATAAACGAAACGATGAATAGAGTTGTCACTTTATCTTTACTTTATAAAATAAATCTTAAATACAATCTTTATATTTATAAAATATACATAAATAAATTTTTTATCTTTATAAAATAAAGAAAAAAGAAAGATTTTTTTCCGTGATAGATAAATAGACGAATACCTAGTATAACAACGGGATATGCTAATCAATATTCTTTTTTATTGCCAACATCACTTCGACATGTGATATTATTAAAACATCAAGCTGATATATGAAAAAAATATATGAAAATAAACTCTTTTGTATATTTCATTTCCATCTATGGTATCATAGTTTTTTGTGAACTACTTGATAAAAATTAAAGATTAAGTTCTAATAGAAAAAGAAGTTTCTTTATTATTTATTTTACAAAGATCAATAAGAAAATATTTTTATCTTTATTTTTTAAATATAAAGATTTATTTTGTTTTTAATTTATATTTATTCTTTATTATAAATAAAAATAAAAATAAAGTAACACCCCTAACGATGAAACAGAAAAGCGAGACACTCTTAAAAATAATCCGCACTTTTCTATAAAAGGATTGTACAAAATGTCAATTCTTACATCTCTACAATAAAAAGATCCTGAAAAGAATTTTTTTTTATCAGCTGATAGAAAATTATTCTCTTGCAAGTAGTGTATGATTCATAATTGTCACACATTAGTTCCCTCGACTGTAGGGAAGGTCATATGAAATAAAATGCGTTTGTTTGTCTGCCTGTTTGTGGCAGGTCAAAAAAACATCTGAAAGATGAAATTATTTTCAGGTCTATTCAGGTGTTCATGCAGCTTTTCTACAGGTTTTCGAGAGCTAGGAATTCGAATCCGAAGTCAGTTTTTCAAAATTTTGAGTTTGATTTTTTTGGTGAAGGAAAGGGTCTTTTGAGGAAATAACGATATTTCCTCGACTGTAGGGAGGGTCATATGAAATAAAATGCGTTTGTATGTATGTATGTGACAAGGTCAAAAAAACATCAGAGTTAAAGTTTATTCAGGCGTAACTTCTACAATCTCACCAAATGTAATTGAGGTAGAGAAATCCGAATCTGACATCAGATTGGTTAAGATAAGCTACACTCACACGCTACACTACACACAAATGTGTGTGTAGCTTATCCTAGCGTGTTTGAACCAATAGAATTGCTCTCCATTTTTTATTCTCATTTATCAAGAAATTGTTCGACTTTGACATGTGTTGAAAAAAAATGAATATTTCTTCATATGTAAGTTGAGTTGCAAGCTATGTTTTGAAAATAGGTTGCTTATGGGTGTGGGTGTGTGGGTGGGTGTGGGTCTGGGTGTGAAGAGAATCCAAACCACCCACACCCACACCCCAGCCACCCACACCCACCCACACCCACACCCCAGCCACCCACACCCACCCACACCCACACACCCACACCCACCCACATCTACACCCACACCCCACACCCACACCCCGGAGAATATTGAAAATCACCTACAAAGATATGATACAAAATGCCGACATTAGAAAGGACCTAAAGGCACAAAAAACTGTCATAGAAGCAATAATGAAAAGAAAACTTAGGCTGTTGGGTCACATCTATACGATGGATGACATCAGACTCCTAAAATGCACACTGTTTGTGGCAATGGAAAGTAAATCTAAGAGAGGAAGATCGTGTAAGGAATGCGTAGATGACGTCACTGAGTGGTGTAATCTTAAACCCTAGGACTTGTTTCACCTAGCTCAAAAAGAAAAACGGTGGAGCAAATCGAATACAGCCGCGATTGGCCTCAACGGATAATAAATCTACGGAACATTATTACTATTATTTTTATAAGACTGTTTACGACCGTCTCCGGTCGTCCTAAAGTCCGTTCTGGGACATACTGGATACACTCTGAAATGAAACACAGAAAAGACAAGCTTTATTCCAAAACTAAATACGATCGAAAAATCACCAAACTCAAACAACAGAAGTCTTACTTTACTCGACAAAGTTGGCTGCCTTAAAAATGCAATAGGCAAAATGTGACAATATGATGTTGCGTTTTACACCTCTTATACAAAGTTGCTCTCTTCTAGTGACTATTTTTTCATCCTAGGCAAATTTTTTTCTGTTCATGAAAGAGAAACATAGAATAGCGACGTGCGCAATTCACTACTTTCGATCGTGCATGTAAACAAATCCTCAAGGTCGTTGGTGTACAGCACCAAACGTAAAAAATTGATTGCACCATACTGTTTAAATGGTGAATGTTTATCGAATAACAGACGTCCATCGAAAAGAAAAAAACAGTTTCTCTCATCACAGTAATGGATTTTTACCCACAAATACCCTAACGAATAGTATGAAATAATACATACAAGCATAGCTTTCGTTTAGTTTTGCTCAGCTGGGGGAAAATTCCAGAGAGAAAGTCTCCAAAAGTGAAAGAGAAACTTTTTTTTTACGTTCGTTTTTTACGCTAAAATATAGCATTAGATGATGCCTTCAAAACAGCGTTATTCAATAGATCGTTATTTTCTTCGTTGTTGTTTGTGCATATAAAGCTGAGCAAGAAATTCAGAAAAATGAAAACAAGTTTACTTTTTATATACAAAAACATATAAATATTTTCAAAAATAATATTCTTTGAAAAGAGTATTAGGTTTTAATTATTATTTATCATTAACATCATCATCATCATTATCTTCGTGCTTGTATATCTTGATGTTACGAGCTTTTGCTCTTCCTGGGTACATACAAAAATGTTGAACAATATCATCTAAATCATTATCAGTAACATCCGGTTTTAAAATACTAAACTTCACAGCCGTTTCTAATGCTGTGGATGAGAGACTATTTCGTAATTTGGTTTTAATTCGTTTTAATGCACTAAAACTTCTTTCGCATTCATTAGATCCAATAGGTAAAGTAGTTAATATTTTATATAATTTTAACCATTCAGGTACTAAATAATTTACATTCACTGATAAAAACTTCAGTATATCTAATAAACAAACTTCATCATTAATTATTTTCGTTTGCATTCGTTTAACATCATTATTTGCACTTTTTAATAAAACACGTAGTTGTGGGAGTTCTTTTTGTAATTTTGCAAAACATAATAAAGGTTCATCAGTTCGTTCATAAATTTTATTGTCAACTCCTTTGTGTTTATAATACATTTCATTACAATATAAATTTAATAAAGGATTTTTCAATACTTCCTCGTTACTATAATCATTTAATTTTGTAAACATTGTAATATTATCCATGATAATTCGAGAATCTGCTCCAAAACGTTCATTAATAGAATTTATTGTAGAGTTAATAAACTTTAAGCCATAATTATTCAAATCATTATCCATATCCATATGATTATCATTGGAATTATTATTAATAGATATGGAACTTCGTGTTGAATGAGCTGTTCGGTGTATCATTGGTAAAGATCAAGACCTTCTTTAACTTTTTGTTTATAAATTTCATAATCAAATTCATTTAATGTATTTTGTATACGAACAATAGTTGAATCTAAGCATATTGAAAATTTATCAAATGTCGTTGAACGACGTTCTGTTTGTTTTAAAAACAGTTTAGCATGTCCTAATATAATTCTCATAATTCCAATTTGGAAAATAAATTTTTCATTAACAAAACGAATTGCAAATCCATTTGCTGTTTCCGAACCATCTTTATTTTTTTCATGAATTTGGATTAAAGCTGATACAATTGAAACCATGTGGGTCCACACAAATTCAGCTAACTGATAGTGATACACCCATCGGGTGTCACTTGCACTTGGTACTTTAGAACCTTTAGAAAAGCATAAAACATTAGATACAAAACATTTTTTGAAATAAGAATACTATATAATGAATTTTTTCTCTCTTAAATTTATTTTCCTTCGTTAAAGTGAAAAGAATTTTTCTTTATCTTCTTTACTTGTTGTATGAAAGATTTGTGATCTTTTTAATATATCCAATCGTTGTGCAGATTCTTGAAAAAAGACAAGTGTTCTGTGAATTAAATCGTATGATTGATAAAATTCATTTGTTAGTGTGTCTTTCACAGAAAGATTAATCAAAGGGCTTCGACAATGTACATAAAAAGCAAATGCATTAATTCTTGATCTAATATGTCCTTGAGCTTAACATCTAACTGAAGATGCACCATCGAAACATTGACCGATCAGAATAAATTTTTTATCTAATTCTTTTTCTAAATCGAATAAGAATTGATTAATAACATCAAAAATCGCCTACAAAAAAGCAAAAATATTTTAAATACAATATAGCAAGAAGTACTTCTCCTGTTTGAGAATGTATTTCATATAAACAAATAATTCTTTCAACTAATTCTTTGGTAGAAGGATCAAAATAACGTAAACAAATACATAATTGTTCCATCACTGTAACATCGCATGTTTCGTCTGCTATTATTGTAAGGGGAATTATTTTAAGGTCAGTAAAATACGTGAAATGGTCAGTAAATGGGATAATTATAAAATCAGTCAATTTAATGATTGATCAGTAAAATAAAT